TTCTTAGAAAAAAAAATAAAGAGAAAGTCTATAAAATACTTAGATAAAAAAGGTTTTTTTTTATTCAAAGAATACTATTGAAGAGTTATGGAATAAAAAATTTTCGCTCGATAGAAAGATTATACCTGTCAAATTATTATGATTTTTCATTTCTTATATATATATATGTAAATATCGAAACCTTGGATTTATTCTCTTGATGAATCATCAGTCAAGGTTTATTTATAAGACTTCTTTTTTTTTTTTTTGTTCTCCCAATAGAGAAGTTTTCAAATGAAAATCATAATTGAAAAAACATTCAATATTTTATAATATCATGTAGAGTTTATCAACTAGTTTAATAACACTTTATTAAATACTAATATTTTACTATAGCAAAGAAAAAATCTATTTCAAAAGTTCGATTCATTTTTATCACATTGATATATATCATCAATAGAATGTCTTTTATAAATATATTCTATATTATCTATAGATCCAGGTGAGGTAGCTGTTTGTTTTGGTGATGAAGGTACATGGTGTCCATTATATAAACATGATATTGATGGTCAAATACATCAAGAATATAGCGATGGAGAAGAAACAGTTTCATCTGATGATGATTTAATTAGTTTAACAAAAAATATTAAAACATTAAATGTAAATGATAGAGATATTTCAACAAAAGAAAATATTGATTCAAATATAAGTCGTTCATCATCATCATCAATAGAAAGTAGTAGTCGTGCATCAAGTCCTTTATATAATACGATATCAACGAATACACAAATACAATCACATAATGATTATCATAATTCAGGTAGAAATTTTATTTTGTTTTTTTTTTATATAATAATATCTTTTTTTTTTTTGGTAAATAATAGGATCAAATTTGTATTCTTATCAATTTCTATCAAATGATTGGAATGAACAACAAAATATTTTTTGGCCACAACAATTAACTATGTCAGATTCATTTTTATTATATAATCAAAGAGAAAATTTTTAAAACAAAAAATAAAATAAAATCATTTATCTTTCTATTGTGTATGTGTTGTCATTACATTTTTCAGTTGTCTATATATATATATATATATTTATTTAAACATATGTCCATATATTGTTCATCAGATCTGAAAGATAATTTTCTTTTATGTATATATATATATATGGATTTATTGTATGACTGTTGTAACACTCCATCCATCGTTATTTTATTCGTCTTTTTTTTTTTTTGTTATATCTTCTTTCTTTTTTTTTTCTTATTCATTTGTCTGTCATAAGAAAACACAAAACAAAAGACATAAAAATTATAGTTCTTTTAAGGTTTAGTAACGAAAACTTATGATATTCATTATAATTGTTATTGCGTAAATGATGAATCATCTAAACGTTAACAAAAAGAAAATAGAGAAGGACAGAAAGAAAGAACCAGAAGACAAGCGGTGTATAGTATGACATCATTATATCGAAATATGTACTTACGCAAGATATTTTCAGTTTTATAAATTGATGCATTTTTCTCTGTAGATTTTTATATTTCTCAAATAACTTACTACAGTTATTAACATGCCCAAGGAAACCGGTGACATTCCGTCGTCGACAATAGTAATACCTTCATCAACGACGACATGTCCATGGAAAAAAACTGAAATAATACCTGTTTCAACATCATTTCGAGAACTTATGGATAGTGATTTAGCAGCTAAATTACAAAAAGAAGAAGATGAAAAATATGCTAATGAAATGAGGTATAAAATTTAATTTAATTATTTTTTTTAATATATATTATTCTATTATTTTTTCATAGTCATTATTCAAAAACACCAATTGAAACAGAAATTTCTGTATTAACTGAAGAAAATGATGATGATGATAATCATCCTATTGATCCATCTACATTAGAAGAAGAAAATCATGATAATGATTATTTATTAGCTTTAATGCTTCAACATGAATATAATAATGAATATAATGGTATGATGAAAAAATATGAATCAACTGTTAATCGTAATAGTAAAGGTAGAAAAAAGTTTTCTTTTTTTTAATAATAAAATTTCAATTTTCTTAATTTTTCAGTTAAAGTTTCAATGAAAAATTTTCTGTTATTACCAGCAACAAAATCTAATCAAATTAATGCAAATAATAATAATAATGATGATGATGATGATTATATTGAAGAAATAAAAGAAACATGTAGTGATTGTGAACATGGTATTTTTGTTTTTTGTTTTTTTTTTTTATTATTTAAATTATTTTTATTTTTTAAATTAAGATCATCCAATGCCATCATTTAATCGTCGAGGTATAAGTGGTAAAGGTGCATCATTAGTTACTAAACATAATGCTGAATTATGTGGTAAACGTAATGTAGCACGTGTTATGAATACATTTCCACCTGAATTTGATACGGGAAATGTTTTAAATAAAATGCAATTATCAAATCGTGTTTATAATCAACTTAAATTACATTCTTATGCTGAAGAAAAACGTATGAATCGTTTACATGATAAAGTTGAAAAAGCTACAGCTGTAAATATATACATATATATATTTTTTTCTTTTTGTTTATTTTTCTAAACAAAAAAAAATCATTTATTTGTTTTTTTTATTTAATAGAGTTTAGCTTTTGATCCAAAAACACGTATTATTTTATATAAATTATTAAATGCTCGTATACTCGATGAAATTGGTGCAATTATTGCAACTGGTAAAGAATCAATTGTTGTATATGGTAAAGGTGGTGATACAAAAGAACATGAAATACCATCTGAAGTAGCAATTAAAGTATGTAGTTGAAGAAAGGATGCCGCCGGATAAAATAGTTAATCTGTCACGTACTCAAGTTGTACTTTCAATAGGTTAGAAAAAAGAAATGACATAAAATTTTTCACATTTCTATATATTTATTTTTTTTGTTTTGTTGAATACAAAAAAAAAAACAAAAACAAAATTTCGAGGACTCAATAACCTGAAGGGGTGTATTGATTGTGGTTGCTCTTGATAATAAGTATAGTAACCACAATTTTTCAAAGTGATATATCGATTAGTTTATGTAAAATCACGCATCGTACTTGTATGATTTTAAAATAGAAATTAATAGTAAATAAGATTACTATGTACATGAAAAACCGTGTCGACCTACTCTATTAGTCTTCATACTGAGTTATAATAGGTAAATTACGAATATCATAGTTATTATTGAAAGCATCCAAAAGTGATAGATCTTCTTAGACTATGTAGTCCACGGAAACTTTTTTTTTTTGCATCCAGCAAGATCGTGTTAGATTTACAATCTTATCAGGCGGTGTCATTGATATTATATTTTTGATCAATTATTATTTTTATTATTAGATTTTTAAAACAACATTAAATGAATTTCATACACGTGAAAAATACTTACGTGAAGATTATCGATTTAAAACTCGTTATAAAAGTCTTAATCCAAGAAAAATTGTTAAATTATGGGCAGAAAAAGTAAAAAAAAAAGACAAAAATAAAAACAAATGAATTTTTTCTTTTTATTATTATTAAAGGAAATGTTTAATTTACAACGTCTTCAACGTGCTGGAATACCTTGTCCAACACCTATTCTATTAAAAAAACATATTCTATTTCTTTCATTTATTGGTAAAGATACTGTTCCAGCAGAACGTCTTCGAGATGCTATTCTTTCATCTGAACAACTTGCTAATGCATATCAACAATGTTTAAATGTAAGATTTCTATTTTGCTAATTTCTATCAAATAATCAATAGGATAAGACATTGACTTTTGAAACTTGTTTTTTTTAGTTACTCAAACGTATTTATCATGAATGTAAATTAATTCATGCTGATTTTAGTGAATATAATTTATTATGGTTTGATAATACAGTATATGTTATAGATGTAGCACAATCTGTTGAACCTTATCATCCAAATGCATATACATATTTACTTCGTGATTGTACAAATCTTTCAACATTTTTTAGTCGACGATCACTTAATGAATATGTTTTAACACCTGAAGAAACATTTAATCATGTAACTGGTCTTGCATTTGAAAAACATGGACAAGAATTTCTTAATGATGTACAAACATATGAAAAAAATATACGTTTACAAAGTGAAGCAATAAAAGAAAAAGAAAATTTTTCATTTGATTATTTTTTTAATCAAACAAAAAAATTGAATATTGATGATGATGATGATGATGATTCTTCATCAGATGAAAATGATCTCGAAAACAATGAAGATATAGAAATAGCCGATGATAATGATGATTATGTAGATTTAACAAGTGGTGATGAATCTATGACAAAATCTTCACTATCGAAACCAAAGAAATCACCATCGCGAAAAACAAAACTTTCTAAATAGTCATCATAATTTTGTTTGTTTTCTTTTATGTGTGTGAGTTTATGATTGTATACATCGGTTTTTTGTTTCTTTTGTTAACCTATTCTTAAGCATACAGCAACAGGCATATAAATATATAACTTTTCGATTTTTTTTTTGTTTTTTCTCAAATATTATTTTCATTTGATAAGTGAAGAAAAAAAAACAACACAATTGATCACGAGCGGATTTATTAGTCATTTACTGATATATGCGTAGATCGTTTTTCATTTTATAGAAATGAATAAAATAAAGTTTTTTATTTCATATATTCAATTTCTATATTTAATAAAGCAAATATTCATTTTGACTCTTGTATTATATGGAATATTTTATTCTGTTATGTCTTGTTGTGATTATCAAATAAATATATAAGTTTTATTGGATATATTAAACCACAGAAAAAAAAAAAAACTTGTAGAGTCTAAACCTCGAAATAAACAAGTAATGGTATTGGTCTATTATAATCACGAATGAAAATTAACAAATATACTATGGAAGATAAGATAGTCATTATAGTTTGTTAAAAACAATATATATATATTGTTTTTTTTTTCAAAGTAAATATATGCGATCAATATTCGATATTTATTTTTCAGATTATTAAGCTTTGTATTTCATTTTTTTTCTTCTGACTATAAAATGTCGGACCAAGCATCATCAACTGATACATCTGGCTCGACTGAACTTAAAGCTGGTCATGCTCCAGCTAGTAGATATTAAAAATTATTTCGATTTTATCTGTTTTTTTTTAAATGATTATTATTTTATTTAAATAGCTAAAGTAGGTGGTATGCGTGTTGGTGCACCTCGACCACGACATACATCACAAGGTGAAGAGAAGAATGCTGCTGCTGGTACTGGTAGTAATGCTGAAAATACTGAAGGTGCTGAAGAATCATCAGGCGATAATGCAGCTACAACCGAAACTAATACAACACACGAAACACCTGTTGAAGATGTTGATAATGAAGAGCCTATAAGGTGAATGTGCAGAATATTGAAGACATTATTATAATAGAACTTTTTTTTAAGCACTGTTGCTCATCGTACAGCTGGTGAAATGGTTTCAGGAGTATTTGTACCAGTATGTAAAAATTTTCATTCTATAATCGAAAACAAAAAAATTCTTCTACTTGGGTCAGTTTTGATATATCGAAGTTTTATTTTCAACAAGATATATTTGCTTAATCCATTTTTATAGTATGTTCTAGAAAAAATTGATTTGAAAAACTAAATTAACAGATTTAAGATATTGATATTATTGAGTAAGAAAAAAGTGTATATTAGAAGAAATTCATCGTCTTTCAAAATGATGTATTTTTATGGTTTATAATAATAACCACAAGATGAATATTTTATTTAGAACATCAACATTTGAGTCAATTAAATTCTTTGCTAGTAAATAACATTTCATTTTTCATTGATTTTCTCGGTAGTTTCTGATTAATGTTTTTTTTTACTCACAATGGAGGTGTTTGTACTGTAAGTTGAATTTACCAGATATTTTTGCATCAATAGAAAGTCCTCATCGCCAAACTAACAAGGTTAAAATATTAGCGGCTGTTGGCTTGTCTAGAGGGAGATATTTAGATTTTAAATTTAGGTATAAAAATGAATCAGGAAAGATTTTCTCCACTATTATAAGGACAAAACATAGTGTTGTTCGGGGCGATTATGGGGTTTGTAGGGTCCCTCTTTCATATGACCCGAACAACAC